CTCACAGAAATCTGCTCAAATCCTCAACGAATGGCGTGTGTTTAGATTGTTATTCCTTACAAAACATGGCTGACAGTTGAGTGAAAATTATGTTGCTGTCATTTGATTGATACAAGTTTAAAAAGCTGGAAGGATTTCCTAAAAAAGATGTATCACAATATTGTTATTTTTATCATGAAATCAAAGTATTTTGAGGAAGAACGTTTCTTGAGAAATAGGTTGATGTGTAATTATAACAGTTAAATTGGATGTGTTCTGAGTTTATGGTAATGGCTTTTACCTTTTGATATGAAGTTAGATATCTAGCCTGAAATCAAGATAAAAATGTACTAGTACTAGTAAATAGAATATTATGCTGGGAAATTCAGTGTACTATATTTCATTTTTCAATGTCTTGTGTGAAATATAGCCAACATGGACTTTTCATGTTACAAATGCCCAACATCTACATAATTATGTAAACTATATAAAACCTTGAGTCATCTGTATCTACATGGAGGTAAAAAGATGCCTCCTTTGTTCAAAATTGTACATCTGTCAGGATTATTTTGCTATATTTTCACATAGTGTAAGCAGCCTGTCTTATGATCTTCAAATGATTCACCTCAATGAACACAGTGACATATGTTAAACACAACAGTACGGTAAAGGTTTCTGTTGTCTTTTGCTGAGATCATTTGCATTTTAGCAAGACATTTATGTTTGCCAGTGCCTAGCTTGCTACTAATGAAAAGTTCTCTGTCTGAGGTAAATGTGCATGTGTTCTACTGTATTTCATATTTTTAATCTAATTTGATTTGGCACACTACACAATTTCTAGTACTTCACTTGCTGTAAATGAACATTCACAGTGTTATTGACAGATTCTCCAGAGCTCTATCCTTATTGTCTGAAATTTAACACTCAAACATGAATGCTATTTCAAATGGAAGATTGAGAATTTTTGGAATGTTTTGACAATGCCAGTCATTTTGCTCAGAAATAACATACATTAACTACATGTTTTCACGTTGTGCACTAAATATAACTCTCCATTTGTATTTCAAATATCTTTTTCTCGGTCTTTAGAGTTTTAGAAATCAAGTTTTAAAATCAGCATGGCAGTTATATGAATGAAAACACTTGCACTTGTTTATTAGTCTTTGCCCACAGTGTGAGCTAATTTATCACATGTTGTAGAAGTGGATTCAAGGTATCTTCCATTCCTTACTGTTGAGAATGAACATATGTTGTAATCCTTTGAGAATTTTTCAATAATTTTGTCATAAATCACACTTAAAGTAAGTCATATTCATACACTTCTGGAAAATTTTTTTTTCATTGGTGTATGGTCAGATGAGACAGCAAATATTGTAACAGTAGCTAGTAGAGACTAAGATAAATTCAAGTGAAGACTAATCATTTTTTCAGATACTTCACATGAAAATTTTTTTTAATTTCTTAAATCAGCACCTAAACTCACTGATCTTGTGGTATACAACTATATTTCACACCTTTTCCATTGAATATCTCCTTTTGAACTGTTGGGGTAGGTTTTGATTCAAGTTGATTGGTGAGTTTTTGATAATTTATGTACAATCAACCCGAAGAAATCTTTATGTGTTAATAATACACCTACAGAAAACATTGTAATTGCACTTCTAACTGTCAACTGATGAATGCAATAGATTTTTTGTTCTTCTTCCTGTTTTTGTGACTTCTCTTAACCTTGGGTTTTCTCAAGCAGAAACAACAGAGTTGATAAAACTGCTTTTGATTGATTTGTAAAGACAAGGCACCAGAAGAGGGGTTATATTAACAGTGTATATTACTAGGCTTGCTTAACATAGTCAGATAAAATTTAAATTGTAAAAATTTTTGTAAAAGTAGGCCATATGCATGAAGCAAATTTCAGCCTTTTACCAAAAGGGAATTTATTTTCACTGATTTTAGCAGGGCATAAAATCACAAATATGATTGGAAAGATAACATAGACAAGTGTTTTTTTAATTTTTTTTTTCTTAAAGCACTGTGTAGAATATTTTTAACCCTTAAAGGCTCTGTATATCTTTTCAAAATAGATTTTTATAAATGAATTCACTCTTACATTATCATTACATTTTCCGGTTTGAAGTTGATTAGGAGATTGAGAAACAAAAATCTACACAGGATTGTTCAATGACAAAAAGTTTTTAGAGCTAAAACTATGATGGTTTTTATGGCAGACAGTGCAGAGCGATGATGTTTAAATCTTTAGACGGAAAGTGTAAATAGAATGTGCAGTGTAGGAGATGTTTTTCATATTACAGTAGCCATGAATGTAATTCTCATGAAATGAATGTAACTTAGCCAACTTCATCACAGTGTGTATCCGGCACACTTTTTGTTAAGGAGAGTGTAAAATAAAGCTAGGTCAGATGAAAAAAAACCTTTGGTAGGAATAAACCAGAAGGGTCAAGGAGTGATAAGGATTAACACAGATTACAATATAAAGTGAGTATGGAAATATCTTGGCATAAATGTAATTATTTATTATGCTATGACTCACAGGTTGCTTTTTCAACCTAGTCTGATGGAGAGATGCTTTTAAATTCAGTGCTCTGTAGACTGGACTATCTCATACAGTATATGGAAGTAATCCACACTGAGGAAGTTAACCTTTTGGTGGGAAGTTTAGGCGATAATTGGTCTTTTAAATGTAACGTACATATAATGTTTACCTAAAGGACAGACTACATGACACATCTGTCGCATTTGAATGATTTACTCCAGATACTTTATTTTATTTAAGATAAATTGAAATTCCTTGTGGTTTGCTGTCAATTCTATTCAGCATTGCAGAGAAATCTGATTGATACATAAAAGACAAGACCATTCTCGATTTTTTAATATTTTATTTACTATTGGTAGTATTTTGGCTGGAAAGAATTTTAATGCAGCCTCTTTGATAATTGAAATCAGAAATTTCAATTTAAAAAATTACACCCAAATTTTTCAGTTTTTTTTTTTTTTTTTTTTTTTTTTTTTGCAATGATTGATTCACTCATCAGTACACCCCCATCTTTCAAGGGAAATACAAAAATGTTTTCTGCTCTTTGGTCCATCTGCACGTACTGTGGATGAACTTTAATGGGTATCTTATTAAGGTGTTCTTTTTTTTCCTCTCCTTGTAAAATGAAACAAAAATACACCATGGGAAGTAGGAAGTTTTATACAAGTGTCTGCGGTTGTCATAAACTGGGAAATAAATGTTTATCCCACTACTTTCAAGTGGTTGTTACTTTAAAGAAATGCTCTTTTTTCAGGAAGAGTTTACATTATTTACTTTAGAGCTTTCCATTGGAATAGAATATAGCTGGCCAAAACTGCTGGCTAGTTCCCCATCTTTAGTGGGCTTCTTTCACATTTTATTTGTACAGTAACCATAATTGTTGATAAAAAGTTATATGTATATGTATATACTGTTACCAAAATACCATGGAAGAAATCCAGCCATTTTTCAGCATTGAGTAGAATACTTTACCAGCAACACATGGAACTGATAGGAAATTTTATATATCTCCAGTAGTTGACCTCTATAGCATGAAATCTAGCAAAACAACTTATTTTTCCTAATAACATGGCTGCTTATTATTTCCCTCTACTTTCAAACTCATCAGCATGGATGTCCTTTTAGTTAATCTCAATTTAGTTGAAGATTATAGCTTGCATTGGGATTGTGATCTTTTTCTCTACTGAATGCTTAACTTTACTAGGCCATATAATTACCATCATGAATAAGAAAGCATCTTGACTTTTACTGCAACAATGTACCGGTGTAATTTAAAGGACTTGCACAGCCTGAAATTAAGCAGCCATTTACAGATATATTGCCAGCCTTTCCTTTATCCTCCAGTTATAGGGAAATAATACATGTGTGTTTGTTATCTTTCTTCACTAACTATAAGATTGTATGTTGCCATCAAATTTGGTCACAAAGGTATTTCTTAGTGAAATAATTTATCAGTTTGGTTGTGTGATAATTCATTTATAGTAACACCAAAACTGCACCATCCAACATTCAAAGCTTTGGATGCATTCACTCTTCAAGTCTAAAACATTACTTTGTTACCCTTTATGCCATGACATTGATCAGTATACTGTTCTCAATACATTTTCTATGATACTTACAAAAGTAATTACTATTTCTATGATACTTACAAAAGTAATTACTATTTAGGGATCGCTTTCTTTATTCTCTAAACCTAAATGTGAGATTCTAGAGCAACATTATGGGAGAAGTTAAATTTGATCATTATTTTTTTAATTTTGTTGTTTATTTGATTATTTTGCCATTTTGTAATTATAACACATCAGTAAAAATAAAGGAAGTTCATAAAACTGAATATAATATAACTGAAAATTGTGTTGAGAAAACTTGTAGAGAAACCAAGAGGTTAATGGCTTATATACAAAGTGCAATATAAGTTATATTCAAGTACTTGCTAACTTGCATTTCCAATGTGCTACATTCAAGTCAAAAATATTCAGCTAAATAGTTTCTATGAAGAAAAAAAAATTAAACTGTGTTTAACAAAACAACTTTTAAACATGTTTAAGCTTTGGTGTGAATGGGGCATAAGTTATATGGCATAATTTAGGTACAAAAATTTAAGGCATACACACACAAAGAAAACAATAACAACAACATTATTAGGAACTCAAACAATCCTATAGATAAACAGCTCAAGAAAAGTTGGAAAAAAAAAAACAAAAAACAAGGAGTCAACTTAGGAATAGGTTTGCAACATTTGTTGACTTAACAGGAAAAGAAAGCCAATATTTTGGATTTCTATATTTAGAGAATTGAAAAATTTAGGTCTGTGGAAATCTGATAAGTCAAATGAAGAAGTGCCCTTTCCTGGATTAAGCCTCATTGTTATGTTAATTTCCTTGTTGTTATTGTTTGATGTCACATTCTGTGTTGGAAGCAATTGACTTTGAGAGCTTGAGAATTCATATCACATTTTTTTATGCTGCAGCTTTCCAAGGAAGCGTGAACGGACAAAATATTCTTCCCAAGGTGAAGACTCAGTTGAGAGATCTGATGGAGACAGACTAACACTCCCAGTTCCCACACGGAGAGGGTCCTTCCTTTATAAATCTGACAGCGAGTTTGAGCTAGCATCCAAATGTGTAACGTCAAGGCATCACTCCTTCAGCGAAGGGTTAGTGAACTGCTTGTGACCACTTCTAATCTTAAAAACCAATGTTTGATACTTGTATGAAGGGGATAAGTTTCTAAAGAAACTGTGGTGCTATGAATGAGGAAACCCTATTACTTGAAACATCAGCTTAGAAAGTCTTCATGGTGGCCAATTTATATTATCAACTCAAATTACAGTGTTCTCCTTTTCAGGCAGTAACCGGTAACATTTACTGCCTGTTCTACCTATTGTACCTCTTATTACTGTCTAAAATTGCATGGAATTCTTGAAAATTCAACATGTAAAGGATTGCTTTACCGGTGTGAAAATTTATTTTACCTGCCATGCTTAAACTAAGGGAGAACACTGAATTATTTTGATACATGTCTGTTTGGGTGTGACCCAGGAAAGCTGGGAGTCCACATTCAAACTTTTTGTGAAAAATCTACATACAAAATTATGTAAAATGACAAACCTGTTTTGTTTAACAGATGTTTTTTAGTAAGTCCCCTCACATCAAAATAAAGAACTCTTAGGTAGAAATTTGCCTGAGGAGGAGAAAAGCAAAGTGAAGGAGTCAAACCATGAAAACTTTCTTAGTTGTTTTCAGTTACTGGTACTGTATATGTAATGTCACACAGATTAGCCCTAACTTGGCAAACTTGATCCAAGTTTTCTGGCTAATGCATGTGAGCAGATGGAATGAAGGCCATTGTAGGCCATACGACCAGCTGATTGACATCTCTACATGGTGTGCTTTGATGTCATTTGTAATAGTAGAGAGCTACTGTTTGGATATTTTAAAAACGTTGATTGCATGCAGGGGGCAAATACATTCCTGTCTTTTATGCTGACTTCAATTAATGAATTGAAAAGGCCCATGTTCAATAGAAATCTGCATCATTTGAACTTTTGGCTTCCCTGTGTGTCTCAAATATTTGTATATGTGCGTTTATATATTTCACTAGAATTACTGAAATGTAAGACCTTACAAAAAAATTTCCAAGCTGTACTAACACTTACTAATATGACTCCATTTCTTAGCTTTGCCAAGTTCAGCACTTCCCAAGAAAATCTAACACTGTAGGCTTCAATCAACTTGTGTTGTTTTCATAATTAATTTTGTTTCCTATACTAATGGCAACTCATGGTATTTTTATAACTGCATGAATGGAAATTTTTCAATCTTTTCTTGAGATCTTCAAAAAAAACTTCTAATCATCAACAGTATATGGAATTTGATCAAGCTTTCTTTCACAATTAATGAGAGAAAGAAAACAATTGGAATTTGAAGATTCTGGTCATGATAATTCAGCGTTAAATAATTACAGAGTAAAACAAAAGTTTCACTGTTTTATTGTTAACTGTGGACTTAACAGCACCATTTTCCATTTTTTTTTTAGAACTCGAGTAGAAGAGCTAGTTACTCCTTTTGCACAGGTAAGAGTTTTTTTCCCTTATTCAAGGAATAATGCTAATAGCAATGGCTAAGTTCTGTTTCATTTCTTTTCTCACCTAGATGTACTTTTGTTGTTCAAATCTGTAACATATCTTTGGGTGCAGTTATTTAAATGAAGGTTGACCCTTATCCAGGATTCAACCTGTTTCACCCTAACATCAGTATGCATATTCTCCATACTGTCCCTACTGTGTGATTCACAGGTGATATTGTAAGGAGAAATTAGATGCTGGTCACTCTTAGTGGTCAAAGGGTTGGAGTCAAACTTTTTTGTATTTTTGATTTCCTCCATTTCAACTAGTACAGCATTTTGAATAATTACAAAACGAGAAAGAAAATGGAGAAGGGTATAATTAAATGCCTTTAAGTTCAAACTACATTTTTTCATACAGAAAACCAAAAGCAATACAATTATAAGAGAGGGAAGAGGAATCACACTTTAAACAACAGATGTATAAATAGTCCATGGTCAAAGGAAGACATGAATCAATACTGAGAAAAGTAAAACAAAAAATGCTCTTTTAAACAGTTTTTTTAGTGGGCTTCTCCCATTTAGATATAGGACTATCATTTCAATTGTAGCATCCAGTAACTGTTGGACAGAATCTCCTAATGTCTATTCTTAACCCTTTCACTCCTATGAGTGACCAAGACAGAATTTCTCCTTACTATATCATTACAATATCAACCAGATAAGTGATGAGAATAAAGAAAAATATCAATTTGGGGATAATTAGTTGATCCAATACTAAATTCTCTGAATTAACATTATAAGAATTGTATGGTTGATAGTAAGGAGAATGACAAATTCGATCTGGGAGTTAAAGGGTTAAGGGGCTCTGGTGCAGGTGCTGCAAAGGTGCACTTCTAGTGGCATCGTCATCTTGCTGCAAGGTTGGGCCAAGGGAAGGAAAAGATAAGCAGGAAAACTCTCAGAGGGTGAAAAATTGTTTATCTCAGTCATGACAAAATTTGTTTTGGTGAATGTCTATATTGGAACAATATTGATCTTGGCTCAAAATTGTATGCCTTTGCAGGGCGTGAAATTAACTTTTTTTTCTGATAGCCACTTGGCTCCTAAATTCTTCAAAGTGGTAGCCAATTCAAAAAAGTTGGTCGCCATTTTCAAAGACAAACAAAATCTTTCTTTATGCTGTCAGCGTTCTAGATAGACCCTCCAAAATTAAGTTAGGGAAAAGATCTTTAACGTGCTACAAAGTGGACACTAGGATAGATGATATACAACGTTCAGTCTCATCTAAATCCAAGATGGCGTCTAGTTATCGATCGAGATGCATGTGCTACGTTTTGGAAACAAACTTAACGAGGAAGTTTGCCGCGGATTTATCTTTGCAAATATTTTTAATTCACTATATCTCTTGGTAAGGTTATGATGAAACGTTCTAGTCGCCAATTTGGCGACTAACTTCCAGGATTTGGTCGCCAAAGTGAAAAATTTAGGCGCATTGGCGCCTGTATTAGGCGCAATTTCACGCCCTGCTTTGTCATGAAGGAATTATTGTAACAACGTTATTTTTATTACATTGAATATTTACAAGCTAGTTACATGTTATTTACATTTTTTTGCTATCTTTGTGTCCATTTCTCTGTAGATTCTCTCAAGTTTGCGAAATGTCAGAAACAATTTCATGTCACTGACCAATGCTAAAAAAGAAAAGTAAGTTTTGTAACACTCCAGCAGGACTCATAGCTTTGTCTACTATATACATGTACCACTGTGACAGGGCAACTTCTCTGTAGGGGGTAACTTACAGAAAGCTGGCCAATCAGATAACTAGAAATGAGCAATGAATTCCCTCTAAATTCTTTGTCACTTTTGTTTGCGTTTGTTTGTAAATCGAATGGTACGCAAGTAATTATTTCCTCTCGTTGTTTGCTCCCCATGGCGCAGTTTTCAATTGAGTGCTAAAAAGCAAAACCAAAGTAATCAAAACGGCCAATCAAAAGGTTGATTCACATTATCATTAGCCAATGAGAATTCTGAGTAACACTAGGAAACTGCAAAAAGCGCGGGAAGAGGCGGATGACTCATCACGATTGGTCATCCGCGTCTGATTGGTTGAGAGGATGGCGCTAGTTTCTGGCTCAAACGCAGAGCGAACTAAAGAAACACGGAAGTTTACTTTCGACACAAATGGAAGTATGCTTAAGTTTGTTTGAATTATCCTGGAAACAGTGTTAGCACTGAAAGCAATTTTACAACAAAAAATTTTCTTTGACAAAGATTAGTGTGACCGTACTCTACCAAAAATTTAATTTGTATTATAATGGCTATTCTATTTGAATTTTTGCTTATGCTGTCCTATTAATAATTGGTTCAAAATAATATCAATTTTATTCTTATATTAAAGTTCACACGGCAACCAGGTGGACGATCAGACATAGTTTGATGCTACTCTGGTTTGCAGATTTAATGAATGTAATCGAAGAAGTTATAATTCATAGACCCAACGTTTCGACACTCCTGTCTAGTGCCTTCATCAGGGGTGATCTAAACGCTGCAACAAGAGGTCCTTTTATATGATCACTAGTTAGCGGCCTTTTTTTAGACGAGGTGTAAACAGGCGTCAGGAAGCAAACCGCCATCGTATGTGACAGGATCCGTAGGTATTTCACGGTAGTTTGTTTTATTTACCAAACCATGTCTAATTTTATTTTTGATTTAAGGAGGAGAGGGTCTGTAGGATCACACATTTTACGAAACAACAACTTAGCCCAAGATGTGCTCAATGGCTCAGGAATGTCTTCAGGTAATCAATCAGTCGCTGGGTGTTCATCTAATATGTAGAGTGGCGGTGAAAAGACAGCCAGCTGGCTGATAGGGATACGTTTCACGAGAGCGTCTGAAACATTTTGTCTTCAGGATATGACAAGTAGACCGAGCATGTCGCGGAGAATTTCTTTTGTCTTTTTAAAGCGAACTTTCGAGCAAAAGTCAGTATAAAGATGCTTCTCATGTTTGGTAGCGAAAACAAATCTAGCATATTACGTTCTCGGCAAATGACGCAAATGGAAGGTGCGGGTCTTCGCACAAACTTTCAATGTAACTTCACGAGTGCAAAACACAAAATTCGCGCTTTCGTTTGCATTACTTTGGCACAATACTGTACAAACGGTTAAGAATTTAATTCTTTAAAACTATCCCGATAGTTTTGTTTATATCTGGCATTTGCGGCAATGTTTTGTTCTCTAACCAAAGTTTAATTGCGTTGTCTCTCTCAAGGTTCTCTTCACTTACCAAGAGATGATGGCTATCAAAAGGTAATCCTTCTATCTCCCAATATATGATTATTAATTCTCCCCTTTAGCTGCTACACATTTCTTTGTTAATTAGTTACAAGAATTTGATGTTAGATCAAGGAAACAACTTCTACCTGATAATTTTAAGTATTCTCGTTACCTGTTTACTGGTTAACGTTTGGATATTATAGGGAGAAGTTTCATGTTAATCATTCCTGGGAGTTTAAGTATTAATGAAAATTGAATATTAAACTAATACCCGTTCACGCCAAAGCTTAAACATGTTTAAAATTTGTTTTGATAATAAGACTGGCCGTTCACACAGCGGGCGCGTTTAACAAAACACGTCTAAAACCGTGTTTAACAAAACTACCTCGCGAGGCAGTTTAACAAAATGTGTTTAATAAAACACATTCAAAATGGCGGCAGAAACCAAAACGCACGGAAGAGTTTCATGTTGTGGCAGTATGATGTTGTAACATTTTACGTCAATTGCAATTACACGAACGCGAGACTGGGCACGAGCATGACGCTGCATTGTTGTCAGCTCTTGTTGTTCGGTGTGAACGTATGGTCAGTTAACCATTAACAATTGGTTCATACGTCAGCGTGCGTTCATCGAGATATGAAGCACGCGGAAAGTTTGAAGAGCCGAGAGCAACTCTAGCTTCTGGCGTGCTCTCGAAACTTCCAAAGTGCATTTCGACGCACGTAACCATAACAACTGAAACTTATTTTGCTTTACTTCCTCAAACTCAACCCACACACTGTCACTGGGCATGCGTGAACTTCGACGCCCGTAACTAAATCAACTGAAACTTTTTTGCTTTTCTTTCAGTTGGCTAATAATACCCTGGATGAGCTGGATTGGGTGCTGTATCAACTGGAAACACTTCAAACACACACGTCCGTCAGTGAAATGGCGTCGAATAAGTTTAAGAGATTGTTAAATAGAGAATTGAAAGACTTTTCCGAAAGCAACCAGTCTGGAAACCAGGTGTCGGCCTGGGTCTATAACACATTTACAGGTAACATGACTGACATATGGAGTTTTTTTCCGTTGACGGAATGGGGTCACCGCTTTGAGAGGAAGTTGTTTTTGTGGCATTTTTCCCCCATGGGTAAGTGGGGAAAGGTATTTAATGGCATTAAATACCTTTTCCCACTTACCCACCCCATTGTCTGCCCATATGCTTAAAAGATTTCAAGTTGTAATGTACGGTAGTTTGTTTTATTTACAAAACCTTGCCGATTATGTTGCGCTCAATGTTCGCAAGACCTGTAGAATGCGTGGGTGGTTTCGTCAAGTTTGTATAGCTCTTTCTTAGTCAAATGCTTCTTGAAAAGTTCTTACTTCTCTCTTTCCTTCTGCCATTTATTTGTAGATAAGCAGTTAGAAGTGGATGCCCTGCCTGGTACAAAATCAAAAAGAGAAGGGATTCGAGCAAGGTCGCGTTCCATGGTAAACGGCGTTCGAAAACTTACAAGACTACACAGCTTTAGTGGCTCTGTACCCAGGTATGTACCGGTAAATGCTTAAGTGGGAAGTAGACTGGTAGAGAAATCCTCTTGAGCAGGGTTTGAGCCAGGCCGCGCCATTGCGCCAATCCCGCACTGCAATTGAAATTTTCCCTTAAAAAACGGTCAAGGGGACAATTTGTCCCCTTCAAAATTTAGGGAAAAAACTCGAAAGAAAGCACACACGAAGAGTTTTATCTCGGTACAGAAATTGCAAGCTAAAACAGAACGTGGAAAGTATATTTTCTTGCACGTTTAAAGTTCATTCCAAATTCATGTTTCAGTCACACTTTACTGAACATGTACGTCTCATGCTCAACCAAGCGTGGTGAACGCACGTGGCAATCTTTACTACGCTTTTTGCAAACATGCGAACTCAAAAGTTCAAAAGCCGCCTTCACAATTAGGTTTTTCGCTGCCCTCAATCATAATTACGATCACAAGCAACGAACCTTGAAACACAGAAACACACGAAACGGATTGAAATCCACCAATCACAAATCACAAACCATGACAAACCATGACCTTTTGAACAAGCCGACAGTGAAAGTAAAGTTTTGTTTCACTAAGAGTTCCGTTAAGATGAAGAATTGACGGCAGCAAAAAACGCAATCGTCAGTTGGCTTTTGAACTTCAAAATTCGCATGTTTGTGAAAAGCGCAGTAACATGTCACATCGAAAACGTGTTCGAACATTAGAAAGCTTTTTCGCTCGGAATCGAAGCCAGAGTGAATCAGAGAAAAATGATACAGAAGAAGAACAGTGTATTAATCAGGAAGAAACGAATGAGGATCGAAGGAAACCGAAAAAATCACGAACTTTCCTGAAAACTTGGTTGCGAGATCACACATGGTTGCGCTATGAAAAAGAGGCGATGTTCCGCTATTTTTGTCGGAAATCTAAGAAGACAAACCCCTTTGCAACGGCAGAAGGGTGTACAAATTTTAGAACCTCAACTCTGCAGCAACTCTTTTCTACAGCCCTTGATGTTTGAGCTAGAACCAACTGAAGAATTAGTACATTTACGTTTAAGAAACGGTGATTAAGAAAGGAATTGAAGTTTACAAAGCGATGCCGGGACGAGATTCTGCTGTGTAATGTTTTGAAGTATAAAGCATAGTCATTGATCCTCTGTTTAAATATGACGAGAAAAAGAAATTTGACATCAATAACAACTTTTCTTTTTTGTATCACTTTTCTTGTATTACAAGTCTTACAAGGATCAGGTAAAAAAAATGTTTTTGTCGGCTTGCCTGTATGAATGTAAAAAAAGAAAATGTCGAATAAAAATTAATATGTCTGTCCCCCTAAAAATGAAAATGCCCTCCAAAATTTTTGCTAAGGGGACAAATTGTCCCCCAGTGATCAAATACTAGCTCAAACCCTGCTCTTGAGTGAAACGCTGATACAGAGACAGCGCAGATTGTGGAGAAATTTTCAATTGTGTCGAAAGTAATCCTTAATTACTTTAGTTCTCCTTTACGTCTCTATTATTGACTAATTAACTGACTTACGGACTGTCAGGTTGATTGACTGAGTGACTTACGGACCGTCAGACTGACTGACTGATTGACTGATTGAGTAAGTGACTCACGGACTGTCAGACTGACTGACTGATTGACCAAGTGACTTACGAACGGTCAGACTGACTGACTGATTTACTGATTGAGTAAGTGACTCACGGACTGTCAGACTGACTGACTGTTTGACTAAGTGACTTACGGACTGTCAGACTGACTGACTGATTGACTAAGGGACTTACGGACTGTCAGACTGATTGACTAAGGGACTTATGGATTGTCAGACTGACTGAATGATTGACTAAGTGACATATGGATTGTGAGAATGACTGACTGATTGATTAGCTGACTTACGGAGTGTCTGACTGACTGACTGGTGGCTGAATAACTGGCAGTTGAGTCACTTAACTTACAAAGTGACCACCCGACCGGCTAATAGACTTACCGACCGACCGACCGACCGACTGCTGATTACTGGTTGATCAAATTGATTGCTTCCCATTAAATCTTTGTCTTGTAGATTTGGAGTGGAGGTGGCCAATGAGGGCGAATTAGCGAAGGTGAGCTTTTGTACAATAATGCTGAATTAATTTGTATCGGTGATACTTTGTGAGGTGCATTTCGTTTCGTTTCCGTTCATTCTGTAGTTCTGATGATTAAACCGTGAATGAAATTAATTTTTCATGGTTGAATAGTTTTTCATTTCTAACCCATCTTGTGCTGATGGCGTGAAAAAAGAGGTGACTAAAGGCGTATGGTCTCTTTAAAAAAAGTGTGAGATGCAAAATTTACAGTCAGTGTAATGTTTTTTTTTCATAAGGTCTTAGAAGAAATCAACAAATGGACATTTGATGTGTTCAAATTACATGACCTAACACAGGGGCATCCTTTGCTTGCTGTTACGTACACAATCCTGCAGGTTGGTGTTTGTTGATGTTGTTGCGGTAGCTGTTGTTGTTGTTGTTGTTGTTGTTGTTGTAGTTGTTGTTGCTGTTGTTGTTGTTGTTGTTGCTGTTGTTGCTGTTGTTGTAGTTGTTATTGTTTTGTGTGAGTATTCTTTAATTGAATGTCGAAAGTAATCCAGGGTTGTATTGTTTTTCCTCTACTGCACTTCGTGATTTGTCTCGAAATCTCGTGTCATCCTCTCTGAGCCAGATGCTGAAGTAAAACCAATCGCAAATCCAGTCTGCAGGCACTGCAGGCTCACAGTGACTCTGTGACACGAGCGGCGAAGCTTTCGCGTTTTGAGCCTGCGAACAATGTGAGTGTGCGTGAGGAACGCGCGAGAGGTCCGCAAGGGTTCGAAACCCACACAGACCTCTCGCTGGCTCGAAACGCGCGGCTTTGAGTGTTAAAAAACTGATTTCTAACTGGCGTCAGAAAAAAATCGGTTTGTCCACTGATAACTTTCAAATGGGCCGGGCCCTGACCTGGGAAGTATTTTGCAATTGTGTTGTCGTCAAAGTCTAAATATCTTAAAACACTTGCTGACTTTAAACTTTGATTCTTTGCAGGCCAGAGATTTATTAAAAATATTCAAGATAAAACCCACTACGTTTATTAACTATATGTCGTCAGTCGAGGTAAGACAAGCGTGAAGATAGCATAGTTTTGCAAGCCTATAAGTCATTACTACTGATGCTTACTTTGGTTACAAAACTAGAAACAGTGCTACCCCTCATTAACGAAATTCTAGACGACAGTAGCAATTCGTAAAATTCCCCTGGCAATTTTATGTGTCCCCGTGTATACACTAAAGTGGACAGAGGCACTGTAAGAGGTGTACCCCTAAAAAGAGAGGGAGTGCAGGAGCACAGTGTCCTGCGCAAGAACACAGTTCTTTGACCTAGTCAAGGCTTGAACCCAGACCGCTCGCTCCCGCGGTTACCGCACTAGCCACTGCGTCACGTATATAGTTTGAAATCGGAAAAAAATTATTTTAATTGGATTGACATCATTGTTAATTATAACATAGCTAGTAAATTTGTGTAATCAAATTCAATTGCGCGAGCCTGCTTCATATTCCTATTGTGAACGCTCATGACTCAGCAAACAAATCCCTCGAGAAAAAAATTTTCCATCGGGTTGAAAATGTTATATAACAACTGGTTCATGCGTCAGCTGTGCGTTCATCGAGATATGAAGCACGTATGAAGTGCGTATAAACCAATTGTTAATTAGATTCTGAACACGAAGTTTCGATTGATCTAGTAGTTTCAGTGTGAGTCTTTGAGTCGTTCAAAACTTAACAACAATTTAGGCTGATTTTTTTTATTTTTTTTTTTTCATTTTGTCAACAACCACACACTGTTAGACGACTAACATCGCCCACTATCTGTCACGTAATAAGTAGTGAGTAGCGTAGCCAATCAGATGGCAGTATTTATGACAGAACGCCAGTTGAAATATACTAAAAAGGAGAGTAGTTTGGTGGGCTTTAGGGGATGTAAAGCAAATCGAAAATTTACAAAGATGGTTGTAGATGGAGTTTGCTAGGAGCAATTTGACATTTTTAAATTTTGTATAGCATTGTGATTGTGTGTACCAATTCTATTTTTCTTTGTAGAATCATTATTTAAAAGATGTCCCCTTCCATAACTGCACTCATGCAGCGGATGTCACACAAACGTCACACACTCTCCTATCAGCTCAAGCATTCGAAGTAAGGGAACATGTTTTCATAAATAAATCAATTTATAGCCAGGATATAGAGGACGCATTGCAAAACAGCTTGCAAAACAGGTAATTTAGTGTTAACAACTGAGTTGAAAACGTAAGTTTACCACCGTAAAGAGTTTAAAGGCTGACGTTTCGAGTGAAGAGCGACGCTCAAAACGTCAGCCTTTTCAACTCAGTTGTTAACACCTAATTACCTGTTATACTCTCCCTCCGACGCAGCACCACAGTTTCTTTAGAAACTTACCCCCTTTATTCAGCTTGCAAAACAGCTTACAAAACGAGCCGTCGGCCGCAGCCACAAGCGACGTTTGATAACAAATTTGTACAGGATTTTTCATGCTGTGGGCAGCTAACGCATCATCCTCTTCCAGGCGTTAAGTTAGTAAAATAAAGCGCGATAGTAGCGGAGGAGTTAAAAACTGAGAGAGGCTTAGGTCTGGACGTGACGCGACGCGAAGCGACGCAACTCGACCTAAATCCTCCTCGTTTCGCTTTGCTGCTAACTGGTTCGCTCCGTTTTACTAAATGAACGCCTGTAACAGGCTATTGACGCATATCTCTTTTGTTCTCCGCTCTATTCAGTCCGTCTTTACCGATCTTGAAGTCCTCGCTGCCATCTTAGCCAGTGCTGTCCATGATGTCGACCACCCAGGAGTCAATAATCATTTCTTAGTGGCAACAAGTAAATATATTTGCAATTGTTTTCTTTTATCCAGCCTAGCGGTCTTTTCGTTTTCCTTTTACTTCCAAACGGAATGAGGGTGAGCAGAGCGAACTATTCCTTTGCTTCCTTCTCTCTCCACGTGCCCTTAATTTTTTACCCTCAGGGTTTCTTAGGATTCACTTTCAGACAAAAACAAAAACAGCCTCAGTTTTGTTTTCGTGGTTTTTTTTTTTCTTTAACTCCCTATGTTCTTCACACTGATTCCTATGCATTTCCCATGGTAATTACAAGGAGAATTTGTCTAACAATCAAGAGTTTCTCGAGTTTGCGACCGTTTCGTTCATTCTCATTACCTAAATGTTTGATTCAGGGGTGATGCTGTTGGAGATATTAGACGCCTATCACTGTTACGGGTTACAGGGTTAAGCTATATATAGACAGGTCCGTGTGGGACCCCAGGATCTTGGTGGAGATCAGCGTGTTGTCCTATTGGGCAAGACTTTCTACTGGCTCTCTTCACCAGGAAGTATAGCTGGGTCAGACAGCTGTCGGGAAAACCTAGCTTAAACGCTTTGAATCTAAGAGTGACCGGCATCTAATTTCTCCTTACATTGACACCCCTGAATCACACATAGAGGGCACGAGAATAAAGGAAATGATCACCAATTTAAGAAGCTCTCGATTGTTTAACACTTCTTGTCAGCACCTTGGTAGATGCACAGAGAACAGTATGGAGAATATGTTTACCCTCTGTCATTGCGCATCCCGTTAACGTCAAGTTGTTCTTTTGTGTTTGTTTTTTCTTTTTGTATGTGAACAGATTCTGAAATGGCACTGATGTATAATGACGAATCTGTTCTTGAAAATCACCACTTGGCCGTGGCATTTCAACTTTTACAACACGAAGACTGTGATATCTTTGAAAATCTTACGAAAAAAGAAAGACAAACAGTTCGGAGAACAATTATCGAAATGGTAAGAGGAAAAATTTTCACCATGAATTTTTAGTGAGTAAGGAGATCAATGTCGGTATCTGAGAAACTTCCTGCCTGCTCCTACCCCTGTCCCTACCCCTACCCCTACCCCTCCCCTAACCCAATAACGAGTTAACAAGTTAGGGTTAATGTTGGGATAGGGGAGGGGTAGGTGCGTAGTTGTTCAGATACTGACATTGATCCGAGTAAAGTACCTCCACCAGACTACATCCCTCTTTAAGATTTGTAGAACACCCCGCTACTATGATGTTTTTTTCCAACGCGGTCCATTTTTGTCGTTACCAAGACCGAGAAGCAGTTGCCCAAAACATCATCTGAATTTTGATATTTGTAATCACTCTCTTCAGGCTTAGCGAGTATTGTTAAATTCAGTATCCTTTCGGCTTTGTCTCGAGGATTATTTGATATAGTAATTCCATTATTACCCTATTTCGACATAATAGTGCATCGCAAAAAGCATGCGCAAAATATGCCAAGATAGTACTCTGTAGAAGAGGGCAAAAATACGAACGGAAAGCGGCGTAACGAAAACGTCACACTTAACGATCCAAACTTTGGCTTTATTTTTTTTTAAGCTTGGCTTTGAAAGCAACGAACGTTTGAGTGCATCAGGGTTTTTGTTTGTCATAAAACAAAGAACTCTCTAATAGTTTCGTTTGCGTTGTTTTTGTCTTTCGCACACGCCTTATGTGATCGATACGATGCTCAGATAAGGCCGAACGATGTGTCTCGAAAATTAGAAGCCAAAAGACTGGAAAATGAAATATATAGTAGTGGAATAAGAAATCCTAATTCGATGGTTTAAAATATGATAAACAAATTGACATTTTGCTCATTGCTCATATATTTCCTCGACCTTACGGCGCTATTCAACTCGCAAAATATGCGCAAAATATTCACGCGTATTATATGTAAAACCACTGAATGTGAATGAAGTGTCGGCAAGTTATCGTTAAATATTTCACAGATGTATTGGATGTGAATGTGTCATGTTGGTCTGATTCTGTTAGGTACTCGCGACTGATAACGCGAAGCACATGAGTCTACTAGCCTCTCTAAAGACCATGGTCGAAAGCAAGAAGGTGGCTGGCAGCGGAGTACTGTGTTTAGACAACGCCACTGACAGAATGCAGGTGAGCCTTACAGCAGACCTCTTCATAACGCTTTAACTCCTAAGAGTGACTAGCATCTAATTTCTCCTTTCCATATCACCACTGAATCAAACATTAAGGTCAGGAGAATAAAGGAACTGATCACCAACTAAAGAAGTTCTTAATTGTTAGACAAACTCTCCTTGTCAGCAACTGAGGGAATGTTTAGAGAACAGTATTGAGAATATGCATACTGATGTTAGGGTGTAAAGGGTTAATGTACAGATAAGGACCTCGGGATACGGAACCTCTTTTGTGGTGACTTCCCCCGGTAGCAAGAACTCTCAGGTAACAAACAACTTGAAATAGCTAACCCTATTGGGTTGAGGCCTCCGGTCTCTTGAAATTTCACGGGGAACATCTTAGCGTGACATCCTGAAGAAAAGACTCATTAGGAAACTAGGGACGGCGGTTTGGAGATATCCCAGGGGTAAATTAACAGTGATAGTGACTCAGCTTCTCACCTGGGATGTGATCTAAGTAGGAGAATACACTTAAGATTTTTTCCTCATCTGAAGTGAACGCCAACTATTATTTGTGGATATTTGTTCATGTAGGTTCTCAAGTGCTTGGTGCATTGTGCCGATCTTAGCAATCCCGCAAAGCCTCTTCCAATGTACAGAAAGTGGGTCGACAGAGTAATGGAAGAATTCTTCAGACAGGTTTGTGCTGGTTACTCTGTAAAGCTAGGGATGGCAGGGGAGGAGGCGGGGGGCGGTGTGCCTCCCTTCACTAGGAGGCGGCTGACATGGCTCACTCTCGCTAATCAACAGGAAACCATCTGTTGAAAGCGTTTTAATCGTCGACTTGTTTATTCATTCGGTCCCTCTTCAGCCCTAACTCCGTCTGTTCATGTTTATTTTCTCTCTCATTGTTTACATTTATGCTTGCCTATTGATCTTCTACTCTTCCAACTTTCCATCCACTCTTTTATTCTTCGTCTTCTACCTCTGAGTTCATTATAAGAGCTGAAGCTGTCACATTTAGCTCACGTAGTGCACCTGTTAGATTGTACTTTGTAGTTCAGCTCACGAACTGCTGCTTAATTTTTCTCAGGGTGACAGGGAGCGAGACATCGAGGGAATGGAAATCAGTCCAATGATGGACAGACATAATGCTTCTATAGAGAAATCGCAGGTAGGATTATAATGAACGAGAACAATAGAGTTTACGTTTGCGGGCGTAAAAATGTTTTGGGTTCGAAACATAGTAGTTTTAGCCCGAGCCGCCAGGCGAGGGTTAAAATGAGCCTTAAAGAGGGCCCAAACATATTTGTGCCAAAGAATATAAACTATATTACAATTATTATTACTTTGGAGTGAATTGAGAAAGTAAAAGCTGTCGAGGATGACAACAAAGCAGTCTGAAAAATCACGCGAGCGTGCAAGCGGGCTAAAATACATTTTATCCCACCAAAATCTACATTTTAGCCCGCAAAATGCGCCACAATTCCCGACACAGTGATAATAACTAAGGCATACATCCCTCCGGCTGCCAGTCTACGTTATCAACTCAGCTGATAATACTATATCACCTCCTCAGCTGTAGTTATTTCTTGTCACGCAATTGACTCTTTTATCTTTGCGTGACATGACCGAAGAACAGTCGAGAAGGAAACCACTGCAGCAAACAGCACTGAATGATTAATGCTAGTCGCAGGTCTGGAATAGTTTTATTACAATTAACTCTTGGGTGAAATTTGGCGTTGTTTCTTAAGTAAGTTTGTGAACGGCAAATAATCATGATCTCTACTTCGATTCGTTACTTTGATAAAGGTATTTGTTTTATATCCTCTTGCAATAGGTGGTGTTTATCGACTTTGTCATCCAACCGCTATGGGAGACCTGGGGCGACTTGGTACATCCTGATGCCATTGAGATCTTAGAGCGCATTGAGGACAATAGATACTGGTACAACGCCCAGGTCCCCAAGCACGAACAGGAGAGGAAGCCCGGAGAGCATAGTTCATCTGGTAGAGAGAAGCGAGTCAGTTGGCAGGGCACAAGGAAAGAAGCTATTGACCAATCAGAACCTGAAACGTCCGGTGAGTCGATGATTAGTACGCAGCGCAGGAGAAAAGGCTTGACTTGTGTTTATCGTCAGAAAATTAGCGGTCTATGTCAAGCGTGGGAGAATACGCCTTAATTGTCAAGCCGAGAATATATGCAACGACTTTCCAACTCGGGAAATTATGCAATCAGTGCGAAGCACGATGAGAGATGTAGTTAGTGACAAGCGCCAAAGTAGGCAAACATTGTCGAGCGTGGGAAAATATGCAGGCTGTGTCAAGCGCGGGAAATGATGCGAACAGTACCGAGCGCGATAGGAAATGGAGCCAGTGACAAGCGCGAAAGTAGGCAACTAATGTCAGGCGCGGGAAAATACGTAGCTTGTGTCAAGCGCGGGAAAGATTGGTAGCCTGTGTCAAACACAGGAAATTTGGCAGTCATTCCTAAGCGTGGAAAAATTTGTATCCAGTGTCAACAGCGAGAGGGACTGCACTGTGTCGGTGACTTGCACGGGAAAACAAGAAATTCTTGTCAAACGCGGGAAATTCTGCTGCCAGCATATAGCACGGGGCACTTTGCAGTCAATGTCAAGGTCAATAGCTTTAAGATTTGTGCTTTGAGAGTGAAATAACGTTTCGACTAACGTTGATTGTTTGTTTTTATTGATACAGATGATGACTGCGAGAAAAGATTGCAGAGGCTAAGAGAAGTGGTAGCTGGAAAAACTCCTGACCTGACTAAATATGTGAGTAGCAGCCGTAGTTGTGAAGCGGATGATGAATTTGACGATGACGAAGAGAAAGGCGAAGGAAAAGATACAGACCAGGTGGATGAAGAGAGAGAAGACGAAGACGAGGAACACGAAGAACACGAAGAACAAGATAGCCAAAAAGAAGGAGATTAGAACTAGGAGCAAAGGAATTACAAGGAAATTTTCCATTTGGAAGAAGCGGACGATGGTTTCTTTCGAATTTGAGGTGTGGATTTTGTCCCAGGAAGTTTGGAAGGAAGAAAGCTATTAATCGGTAAACTAAGGGTTATTGAAGACTTATTGATTTTGTGTCGCGAGATTCCAAGGTGCTCACACCAGACTTTTAGAAGTGTCCTTTATTTGTCCCGAGAAATGGTTGGATGATGTTCTGTTTTACCCGCCGTGTAAAACTTTTACGTAAACGCATGAATAGTGGCCGATAAGTAGAATCCTCGCTGTGGTACGCCTGCAAGCACTAATTGAATAATATTTCATTTTCACGTCGACTTGAATTTTTCTGACCCTTATCCAGTGTCTTTGGCAACGCAATGTAATGAATCTGAACTGCGATACAAGACTGCAATCATCGAAGGAAAATTTATCTCTGTGGACGGTTTTGGACTGCTTCGTGTGGTGTGTAATCGATAGGAGAGTGTGAAGTTGACGATATTTCCAAAGTACCTGTACCAAGCCAGAATCGAACTTCAGATCCAAGAAGCATAAGAATCGTACTTTTTGTACAACTTTGTTGAAACACAATTGCAAGAGTACTAAGTCTATTGACAAGAGTTCAATTGTCAAATTATGGAATACTTAGCATAAACTACAACTTTCTTGGGCGTCAAACCTCAATCCAGAAGGAGGGCTTGTAACAGGCTTTGATAAGCGTGACTAATGGTTTGATCGCTGTTTATGGTTGACTGCCAAATACTTCTGTTCTTTTGAACTTTCAAGTACTTATGTTATAATATTACACTGCTCATCTAAGAAATAATTTCTCAAAAAGGAATTGACAACTTCAGAGATCGACGAGAAGTTTGTCTCAGTGATACGGCAGTCTCCAATCTACCCCAGTTCGTTGAAGAAGCCTATTTTAAAGATGTGGTCGAGGAGTACGTGCAAAAAATTAAAAAGAAAAGGTTTTGGAGGAAAACGCTGACAAGCTTACTGATAAATCCCCTGTGTTTTGCTCGTTGCGCAGGCCTTGAAAGCCCACGGCTTAAATGTTAACTTATATATTGTATTTATTTTATTTGTACATAGGAAGAGAACATTATTGTTAATATTGACTTTGTATTTAACCCTTGTGCGGACGGACCTGAGGAGTGTAATTAGATCCAAAGAGGCGGAAATATCTTAACGGGAAGAATTCCGATGTGAATTGTATTATAGTGCTGTAAAAATTGTAAATAGCTATTTCGCGCCGATTATACCTGCAGGGAAAACGAATGATCAAAATAGCTAATTAATTAGTGAAAAACGTCTTTAACCCTTTCACTTCCAAGATCAAAGATCTATAGACGAATTCTCTCAACTGATGGCCAAGGATTTCTCCATCGACCGTTTCTGAGAATTTGGTGTGGTATCGCGGCTGTATTTGTCCAGTTGATAATTTTGTTAATTTCCATTACCCCTCTGCTTGATAATGTATAATAATTGCAATAAGATTTTCTTTGTGATCATTTGTGGTAGTGAAAGGGTTAAAATTACGATGAGTTGCGGACTTCGACTGCATCAACAATGGTGGAAAGTTATCGGAGAAACTAAATAGGATCCTAAAATGCAAGTGCCAAGTTCGTAATAAAAAGAAAATTTAAGCGCATCTTGCGTTTATAATGTTTATATTATAAATATAACACATAAAAAATCATTGATACGCGTGGCTGAACTTCATATGCCACTCTGTTGTTCTGACCATATTTTGACATCTTTTTTGATTTACTGTCGGACAGACGCAAGACAACATGAAGCCTTTTTGTTCATTATGAGATAAGCTTGAATCTTTACCCTTTAACCCCTGAGAGTGACTCATATAATTTCTCCCAACAGTATAACCCCTGCATCACACAGTAAGGTCATGAGAATAAAGCAAATGATCACGAACTAAATATTCTCTTGATTGATAAACAAATTCTCCTTGTCAGCCCCTTAGGAAATGTATAGAGAACAGTATGGAGAATATGCATACTGATGTTAGGGTGTAAAGGGTTAACACAGACGCATACATGACGTCATCACTAACAACATTTTCCTTCTTTGTCTTATTAAAAAACCAGATTCCATGTAACTGTGGGTCTGTACCTCACAGAACACAACAAAACGCGGGAAGACCATTAGTGACACACTCAGTTGCGCCTCATGTGCGACTTCATAGAGTGACAGAAAATCATCTCAGTTCAACTGTTGTGATAACATCTTCATCAAAACTTGTTAAAATTTATTTCATGTATTTTGTTTTGTTTGCTTGTTTTACTTTTGTTTTGTTTTTGTTTATGTTTTTGTTCCTTCTTATTTCAACTTTTCACGTTCTAGTTGGAGTATGGAGTTAACAGATTTCTAGAAAATTGTTCAAGTTTTTCTCGACCTCGTACTTCGTGAGCCAAGAGTGGCAGAGTTACAACGTGAAAGTCTTCGTACAAGTCTTGAATCTACAAAAAAGGAAATGAGAGAGAGGAGTTTAACTTTACTATTATGTTAGTGATCTCACTTTTCGTTCGTTTGTTCGTTCGGTCGTCGATCAGCCATAATTTGCTTGATCAATCGTTTGTTCGTTCGTATGTTCGACCGTCCATTTGCCATTATTCGCCTGTCCGATCGTTTGTTGGTTCGTCTGCCCGGCCGTCTATCGGCCGTCCATCGGCTACAACTCGTCTGGTTGATCGTTTGTTCGTTTGTTTTTTTTTTCGCCCGTCCACTGGCCATTTTTCGCTAGGTCAATCGTTCGCTCGTTCGTTTGTTCGGCCGTCCATAGGCCATTAATCGCTTGTTCGTTCGTGCATTTGAACGTGTTCCTCCTCGTATGTTCACTCGTTCTTTCTTCATTCCTTCTCGCTCTTTCATTCGATCTCTCGCGTTCGTTAAATCGTGCTTTAAATCGTCAACTCTCGCTGACAGAATCGATCCTTAATTCTATTTCTTTTATCGCTTCGTTTCCAGTTGTTACCCTTCGTTTCCCATCGTCCCCTGTCGTTACCCTTCGTTACCTATCGTCCCCTGTCGTTACCCTTCGTTACCTATCGTCCCCTGTCGTTACCCTAATCGGTTGCTCGTTCTCTTCAATGACTGGTTCGTGAGATTTGAGGTAATCTATCTTCCGAAGTACGAGTTTTTACCTGCTCGAGATATTTATTCTGTACTTTGTATCTGGCTTGGCATAATGCGCATGCTGTGAAAGGAGAAAAAAATATTCTCAGTTGGATTCATTCAGGAAGCGCGAAACTTGTCCATCGGATAAAGGGGATAACTTTCTAAAGAAACTGTGGTGCTGCGTCGGTGGGAGAGAAGAACAGGGTAATTTAGTGTTATCAACTGGGTTGATAACGTGACTTGGTCACCGTAAATAGTTTAAAGCCAATTACAGGACGCACTTCACTTGGGCGAAGAAGAAATGTTCTTAATCAGTTTGGCTAAAGAGGGGACATGGAAAGTAATTACTAGTGGTACGCTTTCATCAGCGCGAATGATTTAAAAACAACATCACCTTTCTCTTTGTCGGGGAAAATCAGTTGGTTGACAATGATGTTGTGTGTGTCAATGTCTGACTTGCTGAGCTCTTGAACTAATCTCTCTGTTTCGTAGAGGGACAGAAACTCTGCTATACAAACGCATACAAATGTTGTGTGATCCTGAAAGAAAGTTGTTAAATTTAAAATCGGTTATTGGTACATTGAATAAAGGGGGTAAGTTTCTACAGAAACTGTAGTACTACGTCGAAGGGAGGGTACAACAGGGTAATTCAGTATTATCAGTTGATTTAGAACGTAAATTGGCCACCGTAAAGGTTTCAAAGCTGACGTTTAGAGCAATAGCCCCTCGCCATTCGCTCTGATGAAGGGCCAACGCTCGAAACGTCAGCCTTGAAACACTACGGTGGCCAATTAACCTTATCAACTCAGTTGATAAAACTAAATTACCCTACTGGTACATTGACTGTCAAAAGTAACGCGGTTTACTTGCGTCCTCCGTGATTGGTCCAGAAAACTCGCGCCCTTTTCTCAGCCAATCGGATGCAAAACTAAAGCCAATCGCGACTTGATCACGCGTTTTCCCGCGCTTTACGCAGTTTGCTTGTTCTTACTCAAAGGTTCTCATTGGCTTCTGATGATTCTTCCCTTTTTTCTGAATGGTCGAGGTGATACCTCTAGTTATGCTTTAACGACACTCTCGAAAAACTCTTTACACTGATAATAATAGAGAAGTTTCTCTCATACCGGATTTTTAAACTGTTGACTGACTTGCTGTATCACGGGCAGTGTGTCTTCTAACTTCTTGGTCATTTGATCTGCATTCATATCATTTATACCCAGCAAAGAGCCAAACTAAACAACAAGCAAAAAAAAAAAAGGGAAACCCACCTATTAAATTTTACTTCCCACCTTCATAGGCCGAAAAAACGTTTTTTCTTTTATTTGACTGAACTGAATTCAAACATTTTACCTAACATTTCCAAAAAAAAATTGAAATCTCCAAAAGCACCTGAGTTATTTAGAAAGCTTTCTTAAATTATATTTTTATTGCAACCTGTATTTATTAAGCTTTCTTGTGATGTACACTTTGCTAGAATTTTAGTGAAACTAGTGCACATACAAATCTTTTCCCGAAAGACACCCGCAAAGGTGGGAAGTAACCTTACTTCAAAGTGTCATTCATGGCTGATCCCCAGGTAACACCTCCTTATGATACATGTATCAATACGTTGTTCAGCAGACAGTAGGTGGGAATTAAAAGGCCACACTCAGGCCAAGTGGTATATCCAGCCAGAAGTTATACTGTTTTCCTTTGTATGATGAGCTTAGGAGTATTACCACTACCCCCTGGATGGGGCCCCAGTCCATCATAAGATTACCCCCCCCCCCCCCCCCCCCCAGCATTTCATCAGGCTTCCCTGACAATGCTGGTAAACGTTTTACTCCTGGGTAGAGAGAGGTACTGTGAAAGTAAATCATTTTGCCCAAGAAGATAACACAATGACCTGGCCAGGTCTTGAGCCCAAACCTCTCCACCCATAGTCTATCTCACTGACCACAAGATCACACCATGTCTCCCACCACTAAGAATTAGGACAACTTGAAATTTGGAAATTTTGACTTGATATAAAACCATGACTGGAAAAAGGGTTAGTTTCAGAACTCTGACGAATTTTCCCAAAAATGTTATTCCCAGCTTCATATCATCAATTAATAAACTTTAAATAAACTGTTGCAGCAAAGTAGTTATAAGTTAACGTTAACCATCATTTGGAGGAGGCATACACGTGTAAGGCTGTCTCAGTTACATGATTACTTGACAAAAGATGAGGGTCACTAATAGCCTTGTGCCCCACCTCAGAGCTACAGAAATAAGCTGCTCCAGGGGTAAATATAATGTACATTACCTGAGAGACAAATGGTCCAATACTGTTCTTCAGAGCTAAAATTTTTCCAAGAGATTTTTCAATAATTGATGGAAATGCAAGTAGTCTGAGGGTGTGGCCTGTTGGAGCTGTGTCAAATACCACTACACTAAAATCCATTGTGTTCACTAGCCTGTGTGTAGAGAAAGTTGAAAAGCTTTACTAGTAAGTTATAGCAGATAATTATCTTGATCACTGATCACTCATTCACTGAGTCCTTTAAGGGCCAATGTTCAGACCAGCCAGGGTTTTTTTTCAAATAAGATATTTCTGCATCACAAGTCAACTATAAATTAACTTGTCTTTCATTAATTTTGGGTTTTAGGTACCAAGACATGAACTCAAGTGCTAACCGTACTTGGTAACCAACTTTGTACAGGTTAATCCTTTAACTCCCAAGATCTCATTAGTAATTCTCCTTACTGTCTGCTATACAGTTCTTGTGATGTTAGTTTGGAGAATTTGGTATTGGATTAAATAATAATCCTCTGAGCGATATCTTTTTTTTTCTCATCACTTGTGTGCTTTATAAGGAAAATTCTGTCTTGACACTCATGGGAGTTGAAGGGTTAATTATTAATATCTACTGCGAAAAACCCTTCTGTGTTGTTATTGAAACGATGAAGATGACAGCAATGTTAATGATAATGGTGACGACAAACCTCATAACCTCAGCAAAACTCATGGCTTCATCAATTCCAGGAAAAGCTCCTAATAGTTCCTTAATCATACCTTTACCCATGGACATCAAGTCTATAATAAAGTCACATGATAATGACAAATTTTAATTATATAAAAAAATTTTGCAAATTTCAGCCACAACAACAACAATAATGATAGGAATGATGATAATGATGATGATGATGATAAAAACAATGTGACAAGTAATAATAGTTATCAATTATTCATCGAAGTTGAGGTGAATAGTGCCAGATATTTACCAAGCCACAAAGTGGCAAGGTAAATATCCATCACTTGCAGTGACACTTAGGAAAATAATTGTTTTAGTATATAACAGACAAAACTAAAAAAATCTGTTTATTTCAGTTACTATATCCAAGAACAGTCAGAAAGTAGAATGTCAACGGGGAAATTTTGTCTCTTCAGCTACTCAGAAGTGAATAGTACTTGCCAATCACTTCCAAACCAGCCAATCAAAGTGTACAAAAAGCACTTCTTACCTGTGTGGTATTTACATTTACTAATAATAAATATTTCGACTATGTTTAATATATTGTATCATAAAATTAAATGACAGTATAAGTACAAAGAGGAACTCACCTGGCTCATCTAAAATATCATCAGGAAGCTGAGAAAATCCAACATTAGGGTCTATTTCCTATTGACATAATAAACATGCATACAATGGTTAAGCGTTTTTACCCTGTGACCTCTTAGGGTGACTAACATCTAATCCTCGTTGAAAATATCATCTGTGAATCACACATTAAGGTCATGCAAATAAAGAAGATGATCACCAATTAAAGCTCTTGATTGGTCAACAAATTCTCCCTGTTGGCACCAAAGTACATGTATAGAGAACAGTATGGAGAATATACATAATGATGTTAACATTATAAAGCTAGAGATTAAATTTTGTGTGTAATGCTTAACCCTTTCACTACCAAGATCTCATTAGTAATTCTCATCAGTGTCAACCATACAATTCTTATGAGTTTAGTTAGGAGAATTTGGCATTAGATCCACTGATAATCTCCCTACTTGATATTCTTCTTTATTCTCATTACTTTTCTGCTTGATATTGTATTAAAATTGTAAGGAGAAATACAGTCCTGGTCACTCATGGGAGGTAAAGGGTTAACTTACCATTGCATAGAGGTTATCACAGCCTTGAACCTTGGTTGGAGTGTTGCTAAATTTCTGGTTGAACGCATCTGATATGTTATGAGCAGGATCAGTAGAAATAATCAGGACAGTGTCTCTTGTTTTAGCGAGTTGAAGAGCAATGCTACAACTAAACAATATTAAAATACAAACATGATGAACATTTTGCACAGATTTGAAAGATGTTAAATTTTTAGCTCATATTTCTCATATTTTCTTTTGCTATTTGTTTGCATTACAATATTAACATTACTGATCCTTGACGCTGCACCCTGAACTCCTGTTTTATATACACCTATATGTAGTAATGGCATGGCTAAAAGTAGAATTTTCTGTAATTTTCCTTTTAAACGTTTCAATTGATTCAATCTGACATGGAAACTTTTCGTGGATCAAGTTTATCAATTCTTACACACTGTCAAGATGACTGGTAATGAGAGCCAAGAGAACTATCACTTCTGGTGGATTCTGTCAAACATTTTTCTATGTTATATAGAAAAATGATTCATAGGATCCTCCTTTTTTCAATGAAATCATACACCTTACTATTTTACTTACATCTTTAATAAAGACAATAAATACGATAGCTTAATAAATTTATCACAACTAGATGGCTATCAAACTAGTGCAAAGAATAGAGAAATAGAAAAAAAAAATCAAACTTCAAGAAAGATTAGGGACGATAATCAGTAAAAGAATCCTTGACTGATCGCATGATAACCATACTGAGTAAGACAGAATTGTACGTACGCTTTCGCAACCGTCGAACTTTGAAAACCGTGAACATTTGGCATAATTCGGGAACATTTAATGTAGTATTACCAATCACTGTTGAAATCAGGACGTGCATAAACCAAGTATTCACAAGGCGGTACCACGGTTTTCTGAAATCTTCAGCTATCACATCAAAAAATCGACGCCAATCATTCTACAAAATCTTAATCTAACAGCAGTCTTATTGCGTACCTGCATGTTGTCTTACCAACACCACCTTTTCCTCCGACAAAAACCCATCGCAGCGTTATTTGATCGATGATATTTTGAATCGACGGTTCGAAAACTTCAGCTTCTTCTACGATGCTGGCGGACGCCATCTTGAAATGAGCGTTAACAAGAAAAAGATTGGTAACTGGTGGAGAGACCGCTATCAGTGTGAACTAAAGGCACAGAACAATGATTTCAACATGGCGGACAAAATGATAACTTGAAGCGACAGTGAACGTTTGGCAAAAATTAAAATGTGTGGAATTTGCTGTTGCCTTTTCGTGGATAATCACAGCTCTAGGAGTCGCTATAAGGTTGGTTTTTATCCTTTATCCGATCTTTCTATTCCTTCATATTTTTTTTTGGTGAGAAGCAAGAAAACTCTGAGCACATGTTGTTCTCCCAGCAGTGATTAACATGTAAATTCTCCTTATAAAATTTAAACATCATCAAGCAAACAGGTAACGAGAATACTCAATCTTATCAGGTAGAAGTTTTTTATCTCGGTCTTACATCAAATTCTCGTTACTTATTTACAGGGAAATGTCTAGCGGCTAGAGGGGAGAATTCACGATCAGATCTTGGGAGTTAAAGAGTCTCCTAATTTTCCATTATTTTTTCGGCAGATTTATGGTCCTCGATTTCCTAAACTTCTAATGCTAGAGTTGTGTTTTGTTTCGTTGAAAGTGGTGGCAAAAGGATCAGGGGTGCAAAGTTTCTTTAACAATTATTTCTCAAGGCTATTTCAGATTCAATCCTTCCACATCTCCAAAGAAGAGGTCCCAACCATGCCGGAAAAACAGACTGTTCCATAACAAATGATAATGGAACATTCTGCTTGAAATTTGTTGCTACTGTGCTTCATTTGAGAGGAGCAAAGACTCCTCAACCTTTAGAGGATGAATCTGGGAATATTTTGTTGTGGAATGGAGAAATATTTGGTGGATTACAGGTACAGTTATTTACATAATTTTAGAAATTCCAAATGAAAAATAAAATGAAATGAATCACTTATTATAGGAGATGTCAGTGTTGTACTGTAGTATTCCTTTTCAAGTGTACTGAGAATTCATACAGCCAAAATGTTGAAGCATTCATTTAGTACACGGTGAAGATTATAACAAACTGCAAAGAAAAAGTTAGGCTTACCCGAAGTACTGTAATACACCAAGCTTGTGAATCTGGGAAGTCATTCCATTAAAAAAAAAAAGGAATATTTTATTTTAGTCAACAAGTAAACCCTAACATAACCTTTTTAGGTAAAGGAAGATGAAAATGATACTCTTGTTTTGCTGGAAAAGTTGTCCAACCATCCATCAGATGTTTCTCCTTCTCAGCACATTTTGTCTACACTGGCAAAGATTCATGGTCCCTGGGCATTTCTTTACTGGCAGGTACAGGCCTCTGATCTGCTAAATATACAAGGAGATCAATTTATTATCTGGGGAAAGGGCTTAGAACAATGTCGTGGTAGGATGATAGCATTATTAGGTAATAGGAAAAAGAATATCCACAATGTCTGAATGAAAAAATTTAGCTGAGGTCATTGAAATTTGACAAGAGAATTTTGTGTAGCAGCCAGAGAATTCTTAGATCTTTGATGGGTAATAAACCCTTTGAAAAGATGAAAAGAATTCACAGACCTGTCCAAAGGAAGGTGCAATCTTAATGAAATACCAAATTTTCTCAACTTATACCAGGAGAGAGCAGACACATTTCTGTTCATCAAATTTCTCAATAAAGGGTCACTTTTTCCTATCACCAAAAATATGTATGACTTTGTAGGCTGCTCAGCTAATTTGTAAGGAAATGTGAAGTGGTTGGAAATGGGTGTGGGGAACATAGGAGTTTGAATCAGATCTTAAAAAATCAACAGTTGACATCATGCCATGGCAATCAGATTGAACTTCTTTGGTTTACAGAATTACCTCATTTTTCTATTTCTGAGATGTTTCATTTTTGTCTAGGTAAGTGAACAGAAGCTATGGTTTGGCAGAGATTATTTTGGACGTCGCAGTCTCTTGTGGCACCTTCCTTCAAATCCGGATGATGTACTTGCAATAGCCTCTGTGACTGAGAGAAACTCTGTTGCTGCTGGAACAGATCTGGTGAGCATTTTCCTTTGCTTTTTAAAAGTAAAGTGTACATGTAGAACCAAAGTGAATTTTTTCAGATTTCAAAAGTTAGAATTTTGTATTCAAACAGCTAGGCTATACAATAAGGCTTTTTTTGCACTAGCCTTCTTGGCTTGTATACCCTCACAGTGTCTCTCTCTCTGTTTATTTACAAGTTATTCTGATTTTAATCAACTGAGTTGATGGTGTGAGATACTGACTGCTTTCAAGTATTAGCCCACAGGCAGACCACACCATGTGTTCGTGGTTAATAATTGTTGACTTGACACAAACAAAATATACGAGGGTCATGAGTAAAGCTTTGAAAATTGCATATCCATATTACATCTCGGTCTACCAATCAGTGCTGCAACTTCTCACGACAGCCCATTGCGATTCAAAACCTAGCCAAGCGCTGATTGGTAAATTCAACACAGCCTGCATGCTTCGAATCCTTTGGTCACTTAGTTTGGCACCGATCATATCGAGAATGCTGTATTCATGATTTCAGCGTCGATTTTCTCGGAAAATGTTGTAGAGATAAAGCTCAAATTTGGCAAAGAGATAGAGCAGCATCTCATCGATCAACAACTGTCAACCTTTAGGAGAGATTTTCAGTAGTTTGGCGTTAATTCTAGTTTGAAGTGGAGGAGGTCGCGGCTGGCAGCCACCAAGTTGCAAGACTTGTCTCCCTTTCCCTCTCATAGGGACTTCCGGCCAAAAGTAATTTCGTAAAAAGACGCTTTAAACGGTCCACTAGGGCGGAAAAATATCACAAATTTATATTTCATTTAACTTAATTGAGACAATCAGACCGAGATGAAATGTAGATATGCAATTTCAAGTTTCTAAACTTTATTCATAACCCTCATAAATTTTGTTCGTCTCATGTCAACAACTGTTAACCACGAGCACAAAGTTTGGTCTGCCTGTGGTTAGCCCTTCCCTCTGACGTTTCTGTTATAGCATTTTGAAGAGATTCCAGCCGATGGCCTGTATTGTTTGGATTTTGTGAGTTCGACGACCGAACAAGACGAGAAACAGTACTTTAGGATCAATAAATATGAATGGACTATTCCAGGCGAGGAAATAGAAAGGAAAGGGCTTCTGAATTGTCCTGTCACGCCTTTCAACAAACAAATGCCAACTGAAAAAGACTTAAAAATCATTGAAGAAAACAGGCGAAAGATTCATTCATGTTTGAATGTACAAGATGAAGGTAGAAAGAAACCGAAAGACATTCCAATGAAGGAGAGCAAAGGAACGTTACAGGGAGAAAATTATTTAGAAAACTTTAACGAAGAACTTCCTGTAGCCATCTTGCCTCCTGACACTGTGGAAACAAGAAATGAAACTGAAGGAACTGCATTTAAACCTGAATACTCGAACGTGAATTGTGATCACGAAATGACTGTGCGTGAAAAGAGTGTGCGTGATTGTACATGGAATATGAAGGTGAACGGTTCTTCGACAAATGGAACTTTGCTAGATTCTTCTTATGTAAAAAATTCTTCGGAGAGTCCACGTGGCTACGATTCCAGTTGCTATCCGGTTGGCTTGGGCTGTACGGGAAACGAGAGAAACTTGTGTTTAGAAAATTATTCCAAGGATGATACACAAACTGATTTAAACGAAGAATGTGCAAACTTTTCTTCGACTTTGACAATCGCTGAAGAGTGTCATCACAGCAACTTGTTAAGAACCCGAAATGAGTGGGATTCCTGTTACGGCGAATCAAGAGACAAATTTATCGCAGTTCTTGGTGATGCTGTAAGGAAACGAGTGTGGAATCTACCGAGAACTTCATGTGATAGGCATTTAGTTGCTTCTGTTTCTTCATCTGGAAGAAGTGTGGAAGCGGGAAGTTTGGAAAATTCAGAAGTTCACGATGCTCGTGTTGGAATATTATTTTCGGGTGGAATTGACTCAATGATGATAGCAGCTTTGGCGGACAAGTAAGTCGACAAATAATGGAATACAAAAAGAAATAAACAACCGAACTAAAGAAGGAATTAACGAACGAACAACCAAACAAATGAACAAACGAACGAACAAACGCACGAACGAACGAACAAACGAACAAACCAACGAACAAACCAACGAACGAACGAATGAACAAACGAACAAACCAACGAACCAACAAACAAACGAATAAGCAAACGAACGAACGAACAAACGAAAGAATGAACAAACGCACGAAAAAACGAACGAACAAAAGAACGAAAAACGACCAAACGCACGAACAAACGACCAAAGCGAACAAACAAAACAACGAGCGAATAAACATAGGAGAAAATCAGATTTAAAACGAACAAACTAGTGAACATAAAAACAAACAAATGAACAAGCGAGCGAACGAACGAGAACATGAACGAACGAACGAGCCAACGAACAAAGGACACGAAGAATAAGCGAACCATCATGATATAACTGTCAAACAGCCAAACGAACAACAAGCGAACAAATGAAGGAATAAGGTCGAACAAAAATAGTCTTTGAGTAACGGGTAACTTTAGTTGGGTATTTAATGGACACATTTCATTTCTAGGTATGTACCTGTTGAAGAAGCCATAGACCTTATTAACGTATCATTTGAACAAAAAGTCAATTCCAGTCATCCTCCGAACAAGAAGACGAGAAAAGGAAAGCAGACGAAAAAGAACGCAACGGAAGTGAAACACTCCAGAAATTTCAGCGTACCAGACAGACTTACTGGAATATCGGGTTTGGAGGAATTGCGCCTTATCAACCCGTCACGAAAATGGAATTTTATCGAGGTGAAGAGTTTTAAGTTGTCGGATATTTAATATACACAAAAAACGCGCAACAGGTTGCGTTTAGTTTTTCTTGTGTTACTTCGTGGCTTGATCGATTGGCGAGAACTCACCTCGCCTAATCAGCCAAACAGAAAGTGCGCCGTTAGATTGAGTGTTGTAAGCCAAGGTCCACTTGAAAGAGGAACACGAATTAAAGAACCAATAAGAATTCGAAACAAAACAAGCAAACTGACCGAAGCGCTG